ACTGTTTGGGACCTCCATGTGCCACTTCATGTTATATCCCTCTTTGGTCCCCATTTTTGCATGATCTATTAGCCTATTATGCTTCTGTTTTTGGTCATTTTACAGAACTGAAAACAGTCTTATTTTGACCCCATATTCATGTTTCATTGAGGCTCTTTGGCTGTTTGATGAATGTTTTGTATACTTTGTGTTTTGACCTCTTTTGGGCCCTATCTTGCATGGCATTTTGAGCATACTTGTATACTGATTTAGGCTTGGCCATCAACTGTAAAATATCATATGTTTGGCCCCTCTTCAATATTGTAGAAGGCCCCTAGTCTGTTTGGGGTCGGCAGCTGTGGGTTGCCTCTTTATCTTGCATTTAGGGCCATTTTTGCGTGCTATTTTTGCCCTATTTGTGCTTGCTGTTTGGCCATTCTTTGAACTGTAAAAATGCTTGTCTAGGGGCTGCCTTGCTTCTGTCTTTTCATCTCATGTTCAAATTATGCATGCATTGCATAGCTATAGGCCATTTCATGCGCCAAAACTCACGTTTCGAGACTCGTTCCATGCATCGGGTTTCATTTTACCGGGTTTCGGGGCTGTTTTGCATCTCATTTTACCTCTGGTTTTTGCCATGTCTCATTAGAGTGGCATTTCGGTGCCTGAGGATCGGTCCTCGGTTTGCACGCACGCGTGCACGCATTTCGAGTTGTCTTGTTTTCGTCTGATGGCCTCCTATGTGAGTGTGGCTGAGGCTCTCTCATGTTGGTGTAAGCCCATTATTGCATTGCGTATGCCATTTCATCCATAGCATTGTGCATGCTCAATTGTGTATTACCTCGTGCAGCGTGTATGCCATTCCATAACATTGTGTATGTTAGGATTGTATCTTAGTTGCATTTCATGCATGTCATGCATATTGCATCGTGTTCGGGATAGAAGTTAGCCCGGGCACGGGAGACGAGGCACGTTTCATACTTCGAGTGACGGAACGTGTCTCAATTTCCTAGTCACCGACACTCCAGATCATCCATGATGGAGTTAGGTTCTTGTTGTGTTTACATGTGCATTCATTCTATATTGAGTTGCACATTTATCGTAATTCGTAACTGTTTTAAAACACGAAAAATGTTTGAGAGCCTTAATTTCTGTGGCTCAAATGGTTCAAATTTGTCAAAACGACGTCGTTTTGACAATTTTAATATTGTTTTGTACTCAAAACGACATCGTTTTGACAAATTCGAGCCATTTGAGCCACAAAAATTAGAACCTCTGCCATTGTTGTTAAAACACAAATGAAACGACAGTCAAAGTAAGTTTGACCACAAAAGAGTGAGAGAGATAAAGATTAGCTGTGTGAAGTGTACGCCACCGCTTCCTGTTATGCAGTGTCGTGGCGTGCTGGGTTTGGTCCACTGAACATGAATCATGCGCTTATTTTTATACTCTGACGAAATTACCCTCCACTCTCTATGATTTTCCCCAAACAAACCCTCCTTTGGCCACTTTTCTCTGCCCCTTCTTGTTTTGCTTGAAGTCTATGCCACTCCACTTCAGTCCTCATCCATTCTCTTTCTGACAGGACACCCCCAACGTCTCTCTCTCTCGCAGGACTCTCTTTCTTTCTGGTGTTCGATTCTTGGAGAGGGAAAAGAAATTGGTAAAGAATGAGTACAGGAACAAGCACTTTTGTTATCAGATCTATCAACTTTCTGACAATGGTATGTAATTTGCCTGCCATTTTTCATTTTCATTTTCTCAGTTTCTCTTTCTTTAAAATTGGCATTTTGATTCTTCTTTGTACATTTTTTAATTGTTAAATGACTCTCCTTTGTATATTTCTTTATTTGCCCTTTTCTTCTGCTGTTGCTAATGGGTTTTTTTGTTATATCTTCCTTATCTCTACTGGGTTTCCTCAGTGTTTTTTATTTTGAATTTGGGTTTTCTTGGTTCAACAGTTTGAGATTGGTTTTGTTGGTTGAATTTTGAGTTCGTTTGGATCTTGGATTTACGAAGGGAAAAGAAAAGATAATGAAAAAAAAAACAATTTAAAAGTTAAAACTTTATTTCACTTTCCCCTATTTGGATCTTGAATTTTCAACTCGTTTGATCTATAAGGCTCCTATTGATTAGAAAATTTTTTTAGTGGAAAGTGAAAGTGAAAGAAAAGAAATAGAGAAGAAAATATATGCATTTGATTAAAATGAAAATTTTATAAGAAAAAAGCTTAAAAAATTTAAAAATTTAGTTATAGATAGTTCACACATTTAATATTTAATTTTTCTCCTGTTTTCTTGTGTTTATATAAGAAAAATGTTCCACTTTCAAGCTAGAACTCATAAAAGTTTTTTTTTCTTGCTTTTTTCCTTCACTTTTCCTCACTTTCTATCCATTTCATCCTAAACAAACTGAGTGAGAAGAGAGTGCAAAAATATATAATTTTCATTTTTCTATCTGTTTTCTTTTCCCTCCACAAATCCAATATTGAAACACAATATAAATGTTACTCTTCTACTATATTGCATAAAAAATATTTATGAATGTAATTTTTGTTTAGTTAATTAAGGAATACCCATTTCTGTTAGCTGTTATGGTTACATTTGGGTAGTTCTAGTTTTTGTGCAATAGAAACAACTAATCTAAAAACAGTAAGAACAGAACTGTGTTGTTGTTTTGATCTTCAGTTTTGTATGCTTCAATTTTGTAGCTATTAGCTGTTGCTGTAATTGGTTTTGGGATATGGATGAGCTCTCATAATGATGTCTGTCGAAAGTCTCTTACTCTCCCTGTTTTAGGCCTTGGTGCCGTCATATTTGTAATGTAAGATTTTAATTTCTTTTCACTTTCCGGGATGCCTTGTGTTAATTCTAGTGCTTTTCACTTGCTTGTATTCGACTTCATTAATAGTTACAAGGACGTGCTGTTGTTTGATTTATAGATCTATAATTGGGTTCTTGGGCGCGTGGAAGAGCAACTCCATATTGCTATGGATTGTATCCTTTTACAAATGAATTTCTCGATGTGCATTACATCTAAATGTAGCATTTTTTTATGCGAATTTTCCTTCATTCTTCCCCTTATTTTTCTTTTGTTGCACCTGCCCTTAACTTTGTGACTCACAGTATTTGATCATGTTGTGCTTCATCTTGATTGCAATCTTGGTCTTCACAGTTTTGGCGTAAGTATGTCTGGTCCAACAGCTCGATTGGTATTCTCATTTAAATTAGGCCAAAGACTGATGATAAATGACTAGTTGACTACGAGGGTTTTTCTTCCTCGTTGGCAATTGTCTTTGTGATTCAACTCTTTGTGCTTCAATTAGAGGTGAATGGGAGCAATTCCAATGCAGTGTTCACTACAACTTGGATGTATCCATGACATGTTTTGTGATTCGGTTTTGGTTTTGCTGACATGAATATTTTTCTGGGGCCTTGTTTTTGTAGGTTTATTGTAACTAATAATGGATCTGGCCATAATGTAGCTGGTTTGAGGTAAGATCGCCGCAACTTTTTTGATACAGTCATTGTTGATGTCTCTCTGTCTGGGGCACATGTGCCTTACCATATGTACCTTGCTTTTTGTCGAGCAAGAACACACATGGAATATTTTCTGGTTGCAAGAAATGATTATTTCACACGTTTTATGAATTTCAATGGAAATCGTCTTCTTTTCTTTTGAATATTTTCTTCTTTTGGTCGGTGAATTGGGATTGGCTTAACTGTGCCTGTTGATATCTATCTGCTCAGATACAAGGAGTACCAACTTCGAGATTACAGTCCATGGTTTCTAAAACAGGTACATTGATCATGTATACTTTTAGAATTTATAGTCTCTGCACAAGTACCACTTTTGTCATTTTGATCTTGATTCTTTCTTCTAGCTAAACAACACCCATAATTGGGAGCACTTAAGGAGTTGTCTCGTGAAATCGGATGACTGCAATAACCTCCCCAAGAAATATAAGGTCGACTTACTTTGCAAATTGAAGTTCTGATTTTTCATTTGTTTCTTATGACGTAATGGTTACCTCTTCATGCAGACTCTTAAACAATACAAACTCGCAAAACTAACCCCCATTGAGGCTGGTTGCTGTCGACCACCATCTGAGTAGGTTCTTTACCCTTTCTGTTTATAATTATTAAGGCCAATTTGGTTGTGTTTTTGTTTTCTGCTTTCATTTTCCCGAAACTTAAACTTGTTTGATGAATTGTTTTTGGGGAAACTTTCTGAAAACAACCCACTTTTTAGGAAAGATCGAAAAGTTGTTTCTCACAAAATGAAAACAGAATGAAAATGATGGGTGTTTTCGAACTTTTCATTATTTTGTTTTCAAAAAAAAAAACAAAAAAAATAAAAATGAAGAAAATGAAACCACAACCATACAGCCTCTTACTGTTTTATGTGTAAATCAAGATAACCCTATTCTATTACTGTATGCTCAGTGAGCAAACCCAAAAGGTTTACGTGTGTGTAAACAGTACTTTTATGTTTTTGTTCTTCAACACAATTTTGTTTGGAAATTATGAAAACTGCATATAACTCTCTTTCTTTTCTTTTTTGGCCCGGTTTCAACTCATTCTTAGGTGCGGCTATCCTGTTATTAATGCCTCATACTATGACTTGAGCTTTCACCCAATCAGTCCCGACAACGATTGCAAAGTTTACAAAAATTCCAAGGCAATTAAGTGCTACAATTGTGATTCTTGCAAGTAAACACCGTCACTTTCCCACCTCCTCTCTCTCTCTCTCTCGTATTAAATTTTCATTTACCTTTGTTTTTCTCATATCACGTTTCCAGGGCCGGAGTTGCACAATACATGAAAACTGAATGGAGGGTGGTTGCAATCTTTAACGTGGTTCTTTTTCTTGTCTTGGTAGGAAACTCAATATCAAATTATCTGTTGTTATTACTGCAGAATCAACTGGAAAAAAAATGAAAATTTCAAAGTTCAGTCATATTATTGCTATGATCTGGATTTTCATATCTCGTGCTCATTACATTTTCGTGACTTTTATCTGTTTGTGTGACATCAGTCAATAATCTACTTCGTGGGATGCTGTGCGAGACGAAATGCTGCAAGGAACC